TTTTTTTTTTTTTTTTTTTTTTTTTTTTTTTTTTTTTTTTTTTTTTGGTATGGGTGAGGATACTTCTAGAATGAAATAGAAATTTAGTATGGCTCAAAATAGGGAAATGGAAGAAGGGAGGAAGTAGAAGGGGGAAGATGTGCTAAGAGGACCTTTGAAGCTTCCAGTAACATGGTGGAATCACACAAATCCAGGTCACATACTCATCCTGGCAGGGCATTAAAACTATTTTGGGATTTGCTAAAAATAGTTATAATAATGTTTAGACATGTGAACTTAACCACTTTAAATCCATGTTTCCCCTGGACCTTCTGAAATAGATCAGGCTCCCAGAAGTAGAAGCTACAGGCCAGGGGTGCCCTCTCAGACTCCAAGTCCCTGCCCTCATCGGAAAGGCTTTGCACATGAACTAGGCCCTTAAAATAGAACAGGCAGAGCAGTGGCCACATGAGAAGATGAGGACATTCAAAGTCCTGAAAGGCGAGATTCTCACTCTCAGGGAGAACTTTCCACTTTAATACAACAGCACAGAATTCCATCCATAGAATACTTCTGGGAAGTCGGGAGGGACAGCTCTCCAGACCTGAGCCACTCCCTAGAAGTTAATTCTTGGGGGATTGCTCATGCATTGTGAGAAACTGGGCTGGGTCAAGTGCTGCCTCATGGGAGTGGGCAATCCTATCCACAGTGGAATTTCTAACTCACACTTCTGTTCATTTGCCCCACATTCGTGACGGTAGCCAAATCCCAGCTGCTACTTCTGGGACAGGTTTTTCCAGAACACCCAGGGGGAGAAAAGAGGTCTCCCAGTCATTATTGTAGAAGACCCCTACGTCACACCCAACCCAGCCAAATATGGAAGGTAGCGAGTTTGCTGATGAGCAGCCAGAGGCTGATAGCTTCCAAGCTGGGCCCAGCGCCTGCTGTATGTATGATTTCGTGGAAAAACACACACAGGCTCGCCCCAGCTCTGCAGGGCAGTGACTAATTTGCTTTATCACATTGTTTTTCTCTTTCTTCTGCTTTCTTTCTGCCTCAGGAAAGTTTGGGCTAGGCTTGTTGACTCCAGAGCTCTGAGACCACCAGCCCCCATGTACACACCCACTTTTCGGGACGGCCCAAAGAACCCCCTGCACTTAGACCCCTTGCTGATGAACCCAACTGCAGCTTGCATGTGTGGCGATGATTTCCCCTCCAGGTGCCACTGCTAGGAGGACATTGCTTACTATCCTAATGCAGATGAAAGCTCTGATTATGCAAGACAATCAAAAAGAGAAATAAGCCCCTCAGGGCTGGCCACTTATTTCCAGTTCAGAAGCAACTGAGTATGCTTTCAAAGCCACCTGTGCTAGCCTGCCCTGCAGGAAGAGATACACCAGTTGCTTTGCAGAGGCGCCCTGTGGGAAGAAGCTCCTAGCCCCACAGGCTCTCCGAAGCTCCCCCACAGCCTGCTTTCCTCACAGAAAAGCATCCGTTTGGATGAGCCCTGGAATCGAATACGTACTAAGGCAGGAGGACTACAAAAGTCCTGGGCAAGATAACAGTCCATGCCCCGGATGCCAGCGGCTCCCAGGGAGGCAGGCCTTGTGACATGCATTGCCTCGGGCTGCCTGTTGCATGCTGCGTTGTCCACCGAGGGCTGACGCTAATGGATGTTCCACTGTGGTGAACCTGGGAGCTCAAACAGGGGGAACTTGCCCGCGGGTGGTGCTGCTAGCAGCAGAGGGCAGAGAGGATCTGTCTGGATCTAGCCAGGTATGCTTCGCCCCACCTTGCTAACCGAGAGACACAAAACCTTAGGGATAGGGAGAGCCCTGGAAACACGGAAGGCTGGTCCAAAAGCAGCCAGAGGATCCATAGCAGGGCCCCTTCAGAATCAGCCAGAAACCCCCTGGTAGGAAAGCAGCAACAACTGTGTGTGCCCCAGGACTGTGTGTCCACTGAAGAAGATGTCAGAAGTCTGGAAGAGCATGCCCAGCAAAGCATCTTACTTACTCGGGGTCCTGGCAGGGTCTCTCTCTCTCTCTCTCTCTCTTTCACACACACACACACACACACACACACACACACACACACACACACACCCATGAATCGTTTCTCTGGTCATTGCATTTCTGGGGTGCTGGCCCCTCTCCAGCAACCATGTCCCCTTAGAAGGCTACCTACGGAACCCTGACTTTCTCTTTCCCGCTTCCTGCTCAACCGTGTGCCTCTTCCTCTGGCACCCAGGAATCCTGACCAGAAACTCAACACCCGTGCCTCAGGCATTCCCTTCCTCCTCCACTTCTTTCTGCATGGCCTTACACTTCTGCCGACGACACCCACTTGTAGGCTGCCAGCTCTGGGTCCCAGGGGCTGCCTAAAAGGACAAGGAGGGACTGAGCCAGTGTGCACTCGGGAGCTTCAGTCCCCGGAGGCGGGCTGGGCGTGCCCCCTTAGCCTCCAGTGCCTCTGTCCTGTCCCCTAAGCATTGCTTTCCTACACTCAAACTTCCAGGGATCTCCAGCTTCAGCCTAGCTGAGGAGGGGCCCCAGCACGCCTCTCCTGCTCTGGCAGCCCTACCCCGGCACCGCGGCGATCTGGAGCGTTACCCAGCAGGCAGCTGCAGCCTCGTAAGGAGGCTTGAACTTTTCCTTGCTCTCAGCGCCACCCGCCCGGGAAAGACAAGAGAGGCAGCAGCCTGGGCTCCGGTAGGAGCTCCAGCTGTCTGGACAATGGGGACCCAAGAGGCTGGGGGTACTGGGCCTGCACTCTGGAGAGGGGACCGCGCTCAGGCCCTTTCGAACCCGGGGCTGGAGAGCGGGAGGACCCCAATGCGGGAGCGGCGGCGGGCGCCCGTGCTTTGAACGACAGCAGCAGCCGGGCTGCGGAGATCCGCTGGCGGGAGATGCCTTTGCAGCTCGCCAGCCGGGCTGGGCGAAGCGAGGACGAGAGCCCCGGAAAGTCAGTGATGCCAGCTCCGGCCTCTCCCAGCCCGGCAGCCCGGCAGATCGCGATCCCGAACAGAATGGCTCTTCCCTCCCGCTAAGGCGCTGGGCTACGGGGCAAGAACAACCCCTAGGAATCGCCTTGAAAGGAGTATGTATCCGATACACGAACCTCTGGAGGAGGCGAGCCAAAGTTACCCCACTTGATGTCAGGCAGGATGTCGCCCCTGCTTGCAAAACGGCTCTGTCCTCCCGGAATGAACACACACACACACACACACACACACACACCCCGAGACTAGCAGGCATGGGGAGCCAGGCCCTCTAGGATCAGAGCTGGCGGTGACCTCGCATCTGAGCGAGCCGGGTCTGTCTGTACGGCCGCCGCACCGGGAGCCCCTCGACCCTCCGATAGCTCCTGGCCATCGCTGGCGAGCAGGGCGATCTGAATGCAGAAAGCTGGTGCGGAGCGCGCTGACTGCGGCTCGCATTCCCTACCTGGGACAGCAGAACGCACAGGGCGAGCGGAGTTCTCGGTTGCATCTTGCCGGACTAGAAGAAGCGCCTGGCGGCGTTTGCATTCACACACGCGGCTGCACTGAGCATATTTTCCGTGGGAGCCAGCCTTTGAGGAGAGGCTCTGCCTCGCCAGCCAGCCAACTTCCCAAATAGATCAGCGGCAGCATCGCGAAAGCATTGGGTAGCGGCTGATGACCAGGACCAATGGCTTTACAAGACGGATTCCTTCATAACGCTCCCTCGTTTTGCATGGCAGATAGGGGCGAGCACCTCGCGGGGAGAGAGCCCCCTCCTAGCAAGGAGGCGGCACGCTGGCTTTTTTTTTTTCCTGACTCCAGGGGCCCAGCCTCACAAATCAGGCAATGCCAGCCTATTCCACTTTCCCTGAAAACTGGAATTGTACCCGGGACCGACAGCCACTTCTAACACAGTGCAAAAAGATTCTCTTTATTAAAATGTTAATAAGAGCCACTTTATTCCCAATAAATCACAGAAAATGACGCCAGCGTCCCCAGCAATCTATGCCCTCAAAGACTCGCTAGTAGATTTCTTTGGCTTTGTCCCCTTCACCCCTTTTCTTTTCCTCCCCCAAAGTGGCTCAGCCACGGTGGTGTTTGGTGTTTTTCTGCCATCACACAAATCACAGAGAGGACAGATCAATTCTAGCTCGCAGGAAAAATCCATCAAGGAGCAATAGATTTTATTAACTGCTCAGGTGAGAGTGTGACTGGCCGACACTCCACAAGCATGAACCTGGCACCAAAGCCGGGACCATGACTTGAGCAAATTCTGTTTTTCCTATGTGGATGTGACCTTTCAGAGCCTCTGAGATATTCCCAAGGGCTCGGAATAGTGCCAGCCATGGCTCAGGGAATTGTACAATTGGGGAGCCTTGGAGATCAGAATAACAGGGATGTGTAAGGCATTTCTTCCCTTACAGAGATCCAAGGCTAAGATTTTTTTCATGAAGCCTTCTTCCTAAGAGGACTTAAGGACTTAGGGTGTTTCACAGAAAATGGCATTTATCCAACTGAGATAGAAAACTTGGGCCACAGGAAAAATTTAGAAAATGGAAACATTAACTCCCAACTACAACTGATTTGCTGCCATTTGCGTATGAGCTTCCTAGTGGCCAAGGCAATAAGAAAAACAAGTGACATCATTTTTTGTTATAGAAATGTGTATAAGTTACATTCAATACTGGTATAAACATATCATACAGCATCTGTTATAGCAGGACACTGAGCAATGGACCATGTTCAGATCCAGTGGATTTGGAAAATATTTCAACATCTGGCACAGGGCCTGAAATACGGAGACAGTGATTGGTATATATCAAAGAACAGATCGCTAAGTCAATCTAGAACTAGCCACAGGTGGGGAGGAGGCCAGGGTCTGAGGCTGAGCTAGCCTGCTGGCACCCCAGCTCTTTACTCAGCATACTCTGCCTGCCAGTTTGTGGTCTGGTTAAAACTCCTAAACTCCGGAGGTCTCACTGAGGATTAAGTGGCAGAATGAGAGCTTTGCGCAGGCAAACCGATGTACTTTCTAAAATTCCTCCCTTGTCTTCCCCTTGGTCATAAATAAGGTCATTGCATGCAGTCCCACGGTCACTGATGACAATGCTTTGATGTCTAGGGTTTGGTTGTTTTAGCCAATTGCACACCCTACAGACAGCAATGCCACCCAAAGAGCCCACAAAAGATGCTGAAGAAACTGCTGCCTTATTTGTTCTCATCTTATTGCCCAAATAGCGCCACCTGCCCTGAAAGTTTAACAAATATGGCCTTTAGTAGATGATATGACATAAGAAAACAGTGTGAGAGTCATGTGTATGGAAATCCATACCCACATTGCTGCTCGGAGATAAGGAACAAGCATGGAGTCTAAAAAGATCCAAATAAAGATATCTGACATGTCTTTATTAGTCTCTATTCCAGGAAAGCAGCCATCTGGTCAACCAAGGGCCAGCTGCCCTGAGACCAGAGATTAGTAAACATAGACAGGGAGACTGAAAAGGGAGACAGTTCAGCTCAGAGGATGGAAAATCAAGGTGATGGTGCACTGGTTGACTAGGAAGGTCTTCCCCTATCTCCATAATAGTAGTTCTGTCCAGTGAGGCCCTTCTGTGAGTATGAGGGCACTAAGCTCCACTCATTGGTTATTTGGTATGCTGCCTCTATACTGGGTCAGCCTTCCTATGCTCTCCCTAGTCCATCATCCTTAGTGCCCCTCACCAAATACATCTAGTCTTCTGCCTTCTCAGTAAGTGTCAGGGCTAGACTTGTTTCCTACTGGGGTGAGGCATGTGAGCAGATCTAACCAAGGAGCTGTGATTGAGAGTGACATGTGTCACTTCAAGGTTGAGGTGCTTCATGGCCACTGTTAGACAGGTTGGTTGGTTTCCCTGGCAATAGGGATCAGGGACACTTGTGCAAAGTGCTTTTACCAGGGAGTATTCTCAGGGAAACACCTTCAGGAAGAGAGCAATAGACTCAGATGTGAAGAAGATGCAGTCACAATAGAGGGCCTGTCTATCCCAGAGCCCTCAACTTAGAACGGCCCTTCAGAATTGATCCTGGTGGTGTTAGAGGAGTTATGGGGTTTTTTCCTAATTAGGCAAGTAGTTAGATGTTTCCCCAACTCATGAGTGAGATGATTTGGCTTGGCCAAGGTCAGTTCTCTAGCCTGACCTCAAATCCATCGCACACATACAGAGCTGGAGTGATGAGTTTGGGCATGGATGGCTCTGTAAGTATGTTTCCTTAAAGGCAGATGTAGTTTGTGGACTGAAATCTTGACCATCTCACACCAGCATCCCTGGGCTGCTGTCTGGGAGGTTCTACTCTCCAGCAGAAAAGCTCCAGACAACTTCTGACTCTAAGGATCCATGCTCTTTACTCTTTCCTTGCCCCAGTTTCTATAAACTCACCTACCAAGGCTGGGAAGAGTTGTTTTCTCAAGCCTTGAGGTGCTCCTAATAACATGTGGGGATGCTGGCTGTCTAAGCTTAAAATGGTAGGAAGAGCCTTATCAGCAGGACAAGAGCTGGATTGGGACCTGAAGGCTCCACCTACATTGAACTAGTAACTCTGACACTCTAAGCCTCAGTTTCCAGTCAATAAAATGGGACTCCTAACATGGCCACACTCCAATGATGGCTACAATGTCCAAATATTATTTGTCCCCTCCCCCCCACTCCCCTCTACACCCAGAGAATGAGATTTGGCCATACAGCATGGGATGGAAATTTTATCAAACAAGACAGGAAATAAATCATTTCCTTCTGATGATAAAAGGCTTCTGAAGAGGAAATCTATTTTTTGTTTGTGCGGTTCAGCTTGTTTTCCTTTTGGGCCCCTAATGGGGGGCTTTTGACTGATGGATTGATCAATGGTGGCCAATAATGCTGGTTAAGCTCTCTCTCTCTACCTGTCCCCATTCTGCTTCCCCTACACTAGCCCTAAGCAAGTCCAGCCACTGTCACAGATATGAAACCGTCTTTAGACTCACTGGAGACTCACACCCTTTCAAGGCACTTCAACTTGGCCAGGGAGCTGATCTCCTCCAACAGCCAGCAGCTGCCTCCTGTGGGTGCCAGGGGTTGGGACTATTTCCTCTGCTTGGGTGACATGGCTGAATATGTTCCAAAGTGGGTAGAGATGGCCAGGGATGTGCATATGCTTGTGTGTATGTGCACAGGCACATGGGATGTTTGTATGTGTGTGTGTGTGTGCTTGTGTGCTTGTGTGTGTGTGTGTGTGTGTGTGTGTGTGTGTGTGTGTGTGTATGTGTGCCTACTCCTATGGACAGATAGCAATAGGTGTATAGTATAGCAAAGAAACGTTTTTCAAATTTTGCATTTGCTGTCGTATGTAACAGAACAATGGCAAAACAAATAGGCACCCCAATGAAGAGAAACAATTCTCAGAGTGCCTATAGGCCTTGGACATACTGGGGCAGTATGGAAGGAAGTCCATGCCATATACTAGTTAGTAAGTCTTAATGCTAATCATGCTGCTGTCCTAAAATGGCACACGATCCTTCAGGTCTCTTCAACATCAAATTCTTGGTTAGTGAAACACCCACTTTTCCTGAGCCAGAATCCTGTTCTAAAGTTTTTCAAAGCCTTTTTGTTTTCCCTCTTTGTTCCTCAGTTCATCACTCCAACCAGCAACACATGCTTCACCTTGAACTTGGTTTTCCATGTGACTTGTAAAGAGCAGAAAACAATGGCAGGGCAATTGTAAATCCAAGTCTCAAGAAACCCTCTCTGCTTCAGTTTGCTCTCCCTTAAGGTATGGATGGATGAGAGGTGGACCCCCAACTCCCACAGGATCACGTTTACAAGCACGGTTGCCAGCTGGTGGTGCTTTTTCTGAAGGTTGTGGTACCTTTAGGAGGTAAGGCCTGGCTGGCTGGAGTGTCTGGCTGGAGAATACAGACCTTGAGGTTTATAGACAGGCTAATATTTTATGTCCTATCTCTCTTTTGCATTCCATGGAGAGGAGAGCAAGTGGCTGCTATATGCTTCCATCCTGCAAACTACCTTGGCCACACCTGCCCTCAAGAATGGACCTGAGCCAAAAATAGACCTCTCTTTATTCAAGTCACTGCTTGTTGAGAGGTATTTGGTCATAGGACAGGAATAGGAGCTAATGTGTTGTTTTCCTGTGACCGTGATCACGATCGTGCCCTCTCACTAAAGTCAACTTGGACAGCAAAGGGTCTATTACAGCTCAGCAGTTTCATCCCATCGATGAAGGAAGCCAGGACAGGAACTCAAGGCAGGAACGTAGAGGTAGGAACTGAAACAGAGATGATGGAGTTCAGAAACCATGGCTTTTGTTGATTCTCGTACTGGCTCCTGTTGAGCTAGCTTTCTTATATAATGCAGACCCACCAGCCTAAGGACGGACTGCTCAAAGTTGAATGCCCCCCCCATATCAATTAGCAACCAAGAAAATGCTCCACGGATGTGACCACACACCAAACTGATTGAGGCAATCAATCCCTTGATTGAGATTCCTTCTTCCTACCTGACTCTAGCTTGTGTAAAGCTGAGAATAAAAACCATAACCCACATCTTCCCTATGACATCACCAATCCTTGAAATAGTGTTTGTGGTCAATCTTCCTGGTGCTAGAGTAAGTGTGTAGGTTCTTAGAGATCTTTTGTGGAAGACGCTTGGAGAAAGGCATCCTCCTGGCTTTCCTCAGCAAAGGAAAAG